CCACGTAAATCTAAAAATTTTTCCGGAATATTTTAATATAAAAAATTTTATAATTCCGCTGGAAACTCACGACCTTTTTGGTGAGGCACCCTAATGTACATAGTAATTTCGCCTAACGGAGCTTCATGTCACACCTACCAAGGGTCCTGAGCCAATGGATCTCTGTGTAGCTGCTATACTGGCGAGAATATCGGTCAATTGCCCATGGGTCCACCCAAATTAGGTAAACCCGGTTTCTGCACGCGATGCGTGTTAAGAGCTGAAGGCAATCCCACATCAGCTTCTTGAAAGTGATATTGTGTGATTTTAAGGCGAGGAGCACCGCCTTGTAGCATACTGTCTCAGCTCGAAGCTCTCTACCTATACATCGATGATCGATTGACTGCCTCTTCAGAAAGTTCTTTTGTGCAAAAATCAAATGAAAAGTAATTATTTATATATACAAACCACTGCCGTCGGTTGCATTGAAAAGTGGACATGGTATCTCATCTTCATCGCAATTCACTTCATCCTCCGTCAAACGGCGCGTATAGACAAACGGTTTCTCTTCGATGGTTAAAATTTTCAGATGTGTGGGTATCATTATACCCTCGGGTTTCTTTTTCTGCTTGCCCGGCCACAAAATTTCACTATCATTGATGCGTAAACGCATTTTAGCTTTCTCCTAAAAAATAAAGAAAAGTTTATAAACAGAATATTAAAAACAGTTAAATTAAGTATCCCAGAAATAAAATTTTTCATTCGAAATAAGTATGAACTTACAGTATCATAATAAAATTTGCCCACAACATGCTTCTTCTGCTTTTCGCGTATATTAATCACATCATAGCCGGCATAAATACGATCACCATTGTCATCAAAGGCCACTTGTCCCGTTTCGCCAGTTATGTTCCGCGTTTTCAGATACTGAAATAAGCGCTTGCCTTCATGCATGCGCCCGTTTGGGGAAAAGAAGCGAGAAAATGGCAAAATTAATTAATACTCTCAATGCTCAGTGTGTCCATGTGTGATTGTGTGTGTGCGTGTGTGTGTGTGTGTGTGTGTGTGTTCCTTAGACCCACTTATGCGAGTTAATAATTCATTTCAAGTAAACATAGTCTTTCTCACCGGACTCCCAATTAACGCCCGAATCACCGCAATCCTTTGGCGCCTCTGTAATCGTTTCATTGGACATCATCTCCTTAATTGCCGACGCTAGTACATAAACGCTGTCCTAAAAGAGACGCCAAGTGGCAAACGCTATACGGTAAGCTGTTTATAAAAGTGCACATACAAGCTGGTTATGGAAGGAATGTTTAGTGTAAATATGTAAGTAAGTATATACGAAATTCGTTCATGTAGCCAGTATATTGAAGTCCCTGCGGGAAATTGTGAACTATAGTAGAAAATAGTGAGTTCGGTGCTAGTAATGTTTCTTAAAATAGGAAATAGAAAGATAAGGCACAGCTGCTTCGAAATCGATATGATGCTCTATCAAAAGTTGTAAAAGAGCAGAAAAAAAAACTACTCAGTAGGCTATGGGATGCCGTGCCGAAGTGA